AGTATGAGCAAAATTTAGTTCTGAGCAACTTTAGTTAGTAGCTCCTAAAGAAAAAGTTATTTCAAAATTTAGAAAATTGATACAATTGATTGTGAACAATTATAACCGAACCCATCCCTAATCTCTACCCTTTCACCTAGTAATATGATAAACAGAAGTTTGGAATCGGTTCAATTTTAAATGTTTAAGTTAAAACCGGTTTTGACATGTTTATATGAAAGTTAAAACTGTTTCAAACTTTGATTTAACTGTTTAGTCAATGTCGAATCATCTTGGAAGATTTATTGGTTAATTTCGGTACGTAATAATTTGGGCTAGCTTAAAGTTAATTAAAAATAATTAATTTAACAAAATTGTTGCTCCAAATTTGCGGTTAGGACATAATCTTATTGTCATAACAAACTTAATTAATACATTTAAGTCATAAAATAGAATATCAATTTAAATAATAATATTAGACCAACTATGCTTGAAGTTTAACTCTATTTTTTTACGTTCTTAATTTCATCAAAACTTATTAGACCAATATACTTAAAATTTAACTCTTAATTCATCAAAACTTATTACTTAAAATTTAACTCTATTTTTTTACGTTCTTAATTTCATCAAAAATTGCATTTACTAATTCATTAAATGTTATTTCTTTTACTCTTGACAAATAATGAATCGTAAAGCCAACACCTTTTAATCTTTGAAGCACATCTTCATTGGAAATTTTTTCTTTTTCAGCTGTTTCGATCAAAAGTTTCATCAAAATAAAACAGTTCTTCTTTCGTTGTAATTCAGCCCTCTTGGCTTGCTCTTCTAAAGCTAAAACTGGAACGGAATCTTTAAGCATTGTAATTTGTTTTTTTTCTCTGTCAGTATCAAATACGAATTTTATTTCTTTGGTTTTTTGAATTATAGAATTTGCATGATTGTATGTAGATAAAATTTCCAACCAATCCAAATCTATTTTTGCTTGTTTGCATATTTGATTCACATTTTTAAGGTATTCATGCCAAATTCCATCATCAAATTCAGCTTCAAAATTTGGTGTATTCAATAAATTTTTAGGATCAAGTGGCGGATAATTAGGATTAAGCGACGGAATTAAACCACGAATTCGTTTCAAATAAAGATCAGTTGACGTTTTTAAATCGACTTTTTTGGGGGGCTTTTTCGTTCCCCTATAGAAAAAAGAAATCAAAATTAAACACTTTGAAAATCTGCAAACGCTGTGTAAAGATTGTGAAACTCCTAACACTGACACAAAGTTATCATTTATGATTTCATCGTCTTCACTCATGTCGACTTTACGTAATTTAAAGATTAATTAAACTTTATAAATTGCATTAGAAACCAAAATGATAAACAGTATTTGAAACACATACATTTTTAAAAGATAATTTGGTTCAAAATAGAGAGTTAACGATAATTTTTTTTTTAGAAAAATTAGTGAAAATCATTAAATAGACATCAGTATGCCGTGAAACAAAATTTTGCATAAAATAATTTCAGTTTTGCCTAATTTAAAATCACAACCAGCTTTTCCATATTGCAGGCAGAAAATAATTCAAAATATTGTTTGCTAAAGAACATTATAGTCGACTACAAAGTTTCATATGGTTCCGGCAATCTATAATCGCCAACCATGGAGAAATGTTTAATGTATTTCGACATACTGCGGCATAAATACAGTATTTTTTAAATCGCTAAAACTTTTTATAGAATTTTTTTAAAAAAAAAATTACCAATAAATTTATACATAGAACTGAGCTCTACAAAGTTACCGGTCAGTTTTTTGAAAAAATGCTTCTATAAATATTTATAACAACTCGAAGATTGGCTTTTTTTCAAATCGTTATAACTTTCTACAGAAGAATTTCTTCAAAAAACTGACCGGTAACTTTGTAGAGTTTAGTTCTATGTATAAAGTTATTGGTAAATTTTTTTTAAAATATTTTTCTATAAAAAGTTTTAGCGATTTAAAAAATACCGTATTTCTGGCGCAGTACGTCGAAATACATTAATTTATTGGTCAATCGCAATCACGAGAAATTGAAACATTTCCCCATGATTGGCGATTATAGATTGCCGGAACCATAATAAAATTCAAATACTATTAAAAATTCTTGCTTGATAAATAATCATGTTATTTTAATCTCTATTTGTCATCATAATTTGTATTCCAAAAAAAGACGCAACCAATAAATTCTATAAACCCAACAATTAATAAACAGAATTTTATTACACTTAAGAGATAACTACAAAATTCTCGTGAGAAATAATTAAATATATAGCTACGCGAAACATCAATTCAGTGATAAAATCTCATAATCTTTATAAATAAAAATATTTGTGATTTTATTAATTTTTAATATGGCACTAAATCATAATTTGGATGTCCAAATCCCCTACCTCTGTTGATAACTTCGGCAAAAAAATCAGTTATAAATTGTATTGCATACAAATACAAAGATTGGTCAGCTCCAAAAGTCCCATGTATAATTGGCTCATAAGGTTCAATATACAAATATGAATGACGAGAACTTTTGACCCTATAAATATTCCACAAATTAATACGAATTTTTAATATAGTTTAAACGGAAAGAGCGAATAAAATTTGCATACCCATAAATAATTAATAATATTAAAACCTCTATAAAAAGAATTATTGCTAGGGTTACTGTCCAATTATACCTGCAACAATTTTTCTATAACATTTGGGTTTGTGTATATTATTGTTGATGTTTATGCTGAATTCTTTTTCAGAATACGCTGGTTTGGGCACAAATTGTTCTTTCAATTTTTGATAGATCAAATAAGGAGGTGCTTTTAATCTACTATTCTTTTTCGTAGTTAATATTCTTACTTCTCGCTCCTTTAAATATAATCGAATGATTTGTATTAAATTATTCTCTTTCATTTTAACGGCCTTGCTTTCTACTATTTCCTAAAATACAGTATATAATTTATGTATAATTTAATATCTTAAATTGAGTAACAGATCAGCATTATTAAAGTTTATTTATACATCCTCAGTACAGACTTCGTTGTTTCATTTTGATGTTTTGTAGGTAATACAAATAACCACGGCGAAGATAGGGCGCGAAGAGTTAGAACCTTAACTTTGCTTATATCATTAAATTCTTAGCAGTGGACAAATTTCTGCTTATGCTACATTGATTGATTGTTGTGTAGCATTTATATCTTTTATGTTAAAAAATTAAAAAAATTATGATATCTAATATGTTTTAACGCAAATACAGTAATTGCGTAACAGATCAGCACTATATATTATAGATTAATTGTTATTATAAAATGCTGTATATTATACAGAACTCGGAGTTTCATTTAATGTTTTGTAAAATAGGTAATAAGAATAACCACGGAAATCCTTAATTGAACAAGTTCATTTACGACAAACTGTATTAAAAGGAACATAAAACATTCCGCTCCTAATCAATTTTAATCAAAATGTTATCAGAATATTATTTAACTCTGAATCTTTTACAAAGAAT